AAGGTATTATGCTAAGTGAAACAGAGAAAGACAAATACCATGATTTCACTTTTATGTGGAATCTAAAAAACAAACCAAACAAACAAACAACCCAGAAACAGCCTCATGAACACAGAAAACAAACTGATGGTTGTCAGAGGGAAGCATGGTGGGGGACAAGCAGAAATGGAGGGGATTAAGAGGTGTAAACTTCTAGTTATTAATAAGTCAGAGGGATGAATGGTACAGCAGGGGGAATGCAGTCAATAATATTGTAATAACTTGGTTTAGTCACATATAGTAACTATACTGATTATGGTGAGCATTTTGTAATGTATATAAATATCGAACTGCTATGTTGTACACCCAAATCTATTATCATATGCCAACTATACTTCAATTAGGTATTAATTCAAAAAAAAGGAAAAAAGTAAGTTGGGGAAAGGATGATGAGTTCACTTTTGGACCCACTGAGTTGGAAGTTCCTGAGAACACATGAGTGAATATGTCCAGCAGGCAGCTGTGTGTATGAGTCTGAATTTCAGTGGAAAGCTTCATGTCAAAGGTAACATTTAAAAATTGTTTCATTCAGCTATAATTCACATATGAAAATTCATTAATTTTACATCTGGTATTAATAAATGTATACAGTCATATAACTACCACCATAATCAAGACACAAAATATTTCCATTTACCTCCCAAAAGTTCCCTCCTGTCTTCTGGTAACACCATTTGAGGAATCATCAGTACAAGATAGTAGCTGAAGGATGGAATCACATGGAGGGGATGAAGCAGGGAGAGTAGCAATGGGGACGCTAACTTCCAGGAGTTAGCAGAGGAAAGAGAAGGTTAGGAACATTCAAAGAAGCACAGGGAGAACCAGGGGGGGCAACACAGGTTCAATAAAGAGGAAATGGCCAATAGTGACAAGTAGAGCACTAGATAAACTAGGATAAGTTCTTAAAAAGAAAATAAATGCATTGCATTAGTAGATAGAGGAAGTGAGTGACAAGAGAAAACAAAATACTGAAAGGATTTTAAGAAAAGACCAGGGATCAGACCACAGCTAGAGGAAAGTGCCAGTAGATTTAGGAAAAGAGAATTTTGAACCTGGAATTAGAGACCTGTATTTTCAGAACTTCTTGTCTACCACTTATTAGCTATGTGATCTTAGACAGATCTCAACTTATCTGGGCCTGTTTTATTGTCTTCAGAAGAAGGAAGGTAAACCAGATGATCTCCACTGTCCCTTTCACTTCTGATTCTGTGAAACTATATGTGCAGCCAGCAACATGGACATCATTAGTGGCCCTTGCAAGAACAATTCAATGGATTGGTTAGATGGTATGGATTGAAATGTGAGTAAATAATCCTTTGGAGAAACTTGGCTAAAAGAGATCCTGGAGAAACAAGAACACATGCTTCCAATATGATCACGAACAACATTTTGAGGTCCAGAAAGGGCAGAACCCAAACAGAGAGCTAGGCCAGTGCCAGTGAATGCCAGAAAAACATTTATTCAATACATACTAAATGTCAGTAACTCTGCAAAGTGCTTCATGTGTGGAAACATCTAGATGGCCAGCATTCTTCTTGCCTCAAATTATTTCTATCATATACAGAATCATTGTATGTTACGTATAAATTTATATCATACTCAACTATTGAGGATCAAAGGGAAATTAGTGGGTTCCCCCAATACTTTATTCAAAACAGTTTCCACAGTGAATTTAGATTAATAATTGGAGGATTTGGGCACAAATAAAACATTTTTCACAAACTCAGAAAGTATTAGGCAGAAGAAATGGGATTCCCATTCAGATCTTCTGTCTTCAATTCCAAATTTCTCCATCACATGACATTTCCCTATTATTGTCTTTAAGTGTCACATGTCTTGTCTCTCATTCATTTTTTGGATTATATGGATTTACATAATATTTATCCTTCCCTAGATTATATCTAAATCCCTTTTATGTAGGTATTCTAGTCTCAACCAAATAACACTTCTCTGAGTCATTGCAAGATACATTCCAGCATCTACCAACACCTTTATGTGATCATAAGTCATTGTCCACAAAAATCTAATCTTTTTCTTGACAATATCTGTGTATCCAGGTTTATTATCTCCTGTGGTCTTCTTTTTTCTTCTGAAGTTTCAGTCCTCAGCAAGAAGAGATGAAAATACCCCCTACATCACTAAGCCCTTCAACTCCTACCTAGGACATCTAAGCCAATAAACATACATGTCATACTTCTTTTTGTGATAAAATTTATTCCCACAAGGCATTCCTGCAACAAGTTACAGAACAACTTCTCTTCTGCCTAGTGTTGAAAAATTTACACAATACTCATAACAAGAAGTCACAGAAGCTGAATTTGACTAACAGAGAATGTGAACGAATTCGTATTTATTCAGAAGCTGAATTTGACTAACAGAGAATGTGAACGAATTCATATTTATTATCTATCTTTTTCACTGCTGATGCATTATTTTTAGTTTTCTTTTTTTGTAAAATTCTACATGTTTCAATAATTTTCTACATCAAGTCCAAATAATATAGTCTACCGTACATTTTTAACTGTAGAGAGTATCAGAAAGGAAGTGTGCACATAAAATTTTATGACAAATAGTATAATGAAGAAAAAAGGGTAACAATGATGAAAACGTTTTGCCAGTTAGTGAAAGCGCATAGGAAATATGTATAACTGAATCCTAATATCTGGTCAGTTAAGGGCACTGCTATAAGCTCTTATTTATTAATCACAGTTAACAAGGAGGAATCCTTCACAAGGCATCACTTTCAACTGTCAGCAGATGCTTTAGAAACAGCATTGTGAGAAATAAACTAAAAAGCACTTTAAAAATATTTTATATATTATTCTATGGAAGTGCAGGATGAAATTAAACTTTATAATTATCATTAAAATTTTAGGTGTCAGTAAAAACTTGACTATCCCTTAAAGATAAATTCTCCTAATCAAGTAACTCTAACCAAGTTTTTGTGAAAGACTATTTATATGTTCTCCTTAGTTTTAAGAATATCTCACTTCAAATGTTATTATAATGTATAGCATTTTGGAAATATCAGGAACAGATAAGAAGAAACAGGCATATGCTCTCCACAAAACCTATTAAGAAACAAGAGCCCAGCTTTGCTTGATTTTCAGTGACTACATACCACCACACTCACATACTCTCTCTCCCTCTTGTTCTTTCTCTTTCACACACACACACACACACACACACACACACACATGCATGTACACACAGTCATTCCAAATCAATTGCATACTCTATTTAAATTAAACATGAATATACAAACTTCTCTGTATATCTTAGGCATAGCAAAATTCTTTTAAAAAGAGAGAGTAGTTTTCTGCATAAACGTTTTTCTAAAATTCTCATTCATAAGCATTAAAAAAAATAAGACATTTTGGGGACAATTGAGGAGACCTGAATATGGGACATCTTATAGACTGTATTATAGAATTATTTATTCAGCTGATTTAGTTTATTGCCTTAGCTAATGATATTATGGATAAATAAGAAAATGTCCTTATTCTTAGGTGATATTATGACATCTGAAACTTACATCATGTAGCTCAGGTATTAACCTGAAGGTTGCAAAGACAGAGAAATGTGACAAAATGTTCGTATCTGGGAAATATGTGCTATGGATATGCAAACAAACACAAGTTCATTGTGTTATTCCTTTAACTTTTCCATAGCACTAAACAAGTTTGAAACAAAAAGTTGAGAAAAATAATTCATTTCATATAATTATAACTGCCCATATTTTTTTCAAAAGACTACTTGATCCAACACATGAGTCATGAGCCGTTGTCAAAACTGTCCCCCCAGCTGTCCTCATCAATTTGAAAGGATTTCAGTTATGGAAATGAGAGAACAGTGTGGAATTTACTTGGGGAGGAGAGAAGGGACAGCAGCTTCAAAGTGTGGGAGTCTGCCGGTCATGCGGATGCCGCATTCCTGAGGATGGGCCCCAGCCGGGTCTTCTGGGCTCTCCCCCACCAGCTGACTGGTGGCTATCTGCAGGGAGACACCGCGGGGCCTCCAGGAGGGGGTGAGTGCAGAGACAAGATAAGGAAACTGCAGTGACCCCCAAACTGAAGAGAGACGGATCTCCCTGGGGTTTTCATTTGGATGGAGCTCCAGATAGGGCAGGTAGGGAAGTGGAAATAGCTTTTAGAAACCAGGTGATGAAGCATAAAGAAATTATGATAAAATGAGCCATCCTCTGCTCAGTTTCAAGGAGTGATGGCTTACCAACAATTTCATTGTACATGAACTCGGTTTTTTGTTCCTACTGTGGCAAAGAACACACAATGCTACTCTTAAACTGAGGTAAAAAACCACCACATACATTCATTTTGAAACTGAAACCTGGAGAGTGAAGACTGGTGGATAGGGCCTTTAAAAATGGTGTTGGACATATGGTGCTTAATAAACATAGGGGCTTTTTAAAAAATTCCTGTCATGAGAAACTATTTTCCTCACTGCCCAGAAGACAAAGGAACACAGTGAGTATATACAACATGGTATTACAAAACCCCGTCTGCCCAATTTGTTATCCACAAATACATATATATTGTTTTTAATTTACTCTAAGCCAGTGTGTTGGCTCAAAGTATCTTACTTTTATGTCATCATCTCTCTGCCACACACACAAGTCATAGCTGGGGATTTCAACTCGCGGTGAAGCTATGCTGAGATTCCAGATCTCAGTGATGTTGGAATAGCGCTGGTCTCTTCAGTCACAGGGAAGGCAATATCCTAGGGAGCCTGGAATTAGTCCTATTTTCCACCATGCAAGCCAAAACGCTGCTTATTGAGAAGCACGTAATTGCTGGCTAATGGCTACGGGGGGGAGAAAACACCAGTGCATTTCAATCTAAGCATCTCTTGGCATATGACAATAAGGAAAGCTGAGGAAGGTGTAAACATAAAGTGCAGTTTCTTGAGGAGGTTAAATAGCAAACATTAAAAAGGCAAGTTACCTCATCCGACTGGGACGGGCTGATTCTGGGCATTGGCGATACTTGCGGAGTTTTTAACTGCGCGCTGTTGCTATCTGGCACGAGCTCTCGGTGGACCGTTTGAATGTGGTTCTGGAGTTCGCTTTCAGACTCAAACTTAACATTGCAGCTAGAACAGCGAGTCTTCGGTCCCCCTGCCTTGCCTTTACCCTCAATGGCACTCAGATTTTCGTTCTGGCCCAAGCCTGGCCTGTTTGTGCCGGGAAGCATGTTGACTCCTGGGCTGCTGCTCTTACTGAGATTGACGCAGCCAGCACACAGACCATAGGGCAGGCCATTGATGTCAAGTTTCACCAGGTCTTGCTTGGAACGAAATTCTTTGAGGCAAGATGCACACTTGTACAGTTTCTGAATGTGCTGGCCACGCCCTGTGGTCTGGACTGCAGACCCGTTCCCTGTCTTCTGCATGTGGAATGTGCCGTGGATTTTGAGTTCTAAGGTGGAGGTCACTGTCTGCATGCAGACCACACAGCGAAATCCTGTCAGGGAGTTCCTCAAGTCAGGGTGCATTTGGCAATGCTCTAAAAACTCCTCTTCACTCTGCAGAGGCATCTTGCAAATCCGGCAGTTTCCAGTATCGAGACTCTTACTATGTGTGACTTTGTGTTCAGTAAGAGTTAAGAGAGAAGGAAACCGCTCCCCACAAATAGGGCACATGTAGTGTTTGACAGGGCCTAGGTGGGTCTGCATATGTTCACGGAGACCATTTTCAGAGAAGAAGGTTCGAGAGCACACATTACACTTGTAATTCCCTTTGATGAGCTCAGCTTTCTTCTTCACGATAGCGCTCTCTCCGGGTCTGATGTTGTGGTCTCGCAGCTGGTGGTTCTGCAGCAGCGTTTCCATCGTGTAGGCTGCCCCACAAATGTCACACCCATACATAGGCTCCGAGGTGTCCACATCTTCTTCGCTCCCATCGTGACTGTTGTGGGACTCCTGGCTGTTGGTCAGCAAGGTCTGCAGCTCCACCTCCTCCTTCTGCACTTGCTCAGAGGCTCCGTTGGCTCCACAGTTAGGAGTCTTGGTTTCGAACACACAGTGCTTCTCCCGCAAGTGTTTCTCCAGCAAGATGATGGCGTGAAAGGCTTTGCTGCAGAACTTGCAGTTGTACTTCTTGCTGTGAGTGGTGATGTGGCACTGCAGCTCCACCTCGGTGCCGAAAGACTCTCCACAGAAAATGCACTTGTGCACTTTCCCTTGATTTTCCAGGTGGTTGTGTTTCACATGGAGCTGCAGGTCAGTCTCATTGCGGAAGTCCCAGTTGCAAGATGTGCACCTGTAGACTTTCTTTTCATTACTGTGCTTCACAGCCAAGTGGAGCTGAATGGAGACTTTGGAGTCAAAAACTTCCTGGCACAGGGTGCAGCGGAAGAAGACAAATGTGTGCATATCCAACAGGTGTTTCTGAAGGTCGTCCACTGATGTGAACTGCTTATCGCAACTCTCGCAGATGTAATATGTGGAGGTGATCATAAAATGAATGGTGACGTGCTTCAGCAAGGATTCTTGGTTGGGGAATTCCTTGTTGCACTGAGGACAGGTCAATTTTGGAAGCACAGTGTCAAGATGAGTTTTTAGGTGAGTCTGAAAGCTGTCCAAGGACGTGTACTTAGCACCACACTGATTACAGATATATTCTCCAGCCGGACGTGCAGGTGCACCACCCACTGCCTGCATCATCTTAAGAGATGTCTGCTCTATGGCCATGGGAGAGAGTGGGCTCAAGGCCCTAGATTTTTTCCCATTGTGAATATAATTCAGGGCCAAGGGAATGTTTTTATGATTCTCTTTGATGTGCTTGTTCAGCTTAAGAACGCTGTTGAAGATTGGTGAATTTGTACAATAGGAACAAGAATAGACTTCTACTACTGGTTCTTTTGGAGTCCCAAGCACTGGAGACCCAAATCGGGAGCCACTGAGGTCACAGTGGACCTGTCTTATATGCTCTTCAAGGGAAGAGTCAGTAAGAAACCCCATGTAGCAATGGGGACAAAAGAATGCATTGCTATCCTTAGCTGCAGGATTCGCAAATCCATGAGAACATCGGATGTGTTCCTGAAGAGTGTTGAGGTCATTGACAACTTCAGAGCAGAAGTTGCACTGGTAGACTATGGCAGGCATGGCAGAAACGAGCAGACCTGGGTCCTGAGCTTCATGCACTTGCTTAAGGTGTTCATTTAGGTTATAGAGCGAGGGCAATACTTCCAAGCAATACTGACAAATGTGGGCCTGTTCTGGCTTATCTAAATGCATAGTTTTCAGGTGAATCTGCAGAACTGCCAGACTCGAAAATAACTGCTTGTTGCAGTAAATACAGCTGTAGGTAACTTTCGCTTGTTTACTCGAGGGAACGGTCATGTCAGGGGTTTGCTGAGCAGCCCGCTTCCTCCCTCGACTCTTTGGGATTGGCGGGGCAGCTTCCACCATGGTTGAGCTGTCCACTGAGAGGTTGGAATCTGGGGTCGTGCTGGACACGGAGGTGTAGCCCACCGTGACGAGGGAAGGGCTGTTGCTGTGATTGCACGACTCTGGCTGCTGGTGACTATCCATGTGGCTGTACAGATCCTCAACCGTGTGGAAACTCTCCGAACAAATGCTACAAGAGTTCTTCTTCTCTCCGCCGTGCAACTGCTCCATGTGGTTCATGAGGGAGGTCTCCTCTACAAAGAGCTCATGGCAGTAGATGCACTGGAGGGCCGCTCGGTCCTCATTTGGGGAGCATTCAGGGTGACACTCTGCAATGTGCTTCTGGAGGTCTTCCGGGAAGTCGAAGCCTTCCTCGCACTGACTGCACTTCTGAGTGTCCTTCATCTTCCAGTCCTCCATCCTGGAACTGGACTGGGAGCCGTCCTTGTTCCTCTCGTGAACCTGCATGTGTCCGTGTAAGGAGCTGGAGGACAGGAACCCGCGGCGACAAATGGCACATTTATATGGCTTGTTGGACGTGTGAGTCTTTAAGTGGATCTTCAGGTGGTCACTTCTGGAGAACGCAGCGTCACATTCACTGCAATGGTACTTCTTGTCCCCGGTGTGCAGTTTGATATGGCGATCGCGGCTCCGCTTGTGTTTGAACAGCCGACTGCAATAGGTGCATTTGAAAGGCAGTTTGTCGCTGTGACTCTGCTCATGGTGCTTTAGGTAGCTGAGGCGGCTAAACGACTTGTCACAAAACTGGCATGGATATGGGAGTCCAGGGCCACCTTCTTCCTCCCCAAAATCGCAGCCTTCTCCATGGCTTGGGGAAGTCTGGTCCTTGCTGGAAGGTGAGGAAGCTGGCCATGAGCAAGTGGGATCATCTTCAACATCCACTCCATCTGCAACAAGAAGACATGGCACGTTTCATTTTACGTGTTGAGAATTCAGGAATGAGGTTGCTGTACCAGTTCAACAACTCCACATAGTTAGACCATCCAGAACCTTTCAGATTAAAAAAATAAATAAAAAGAAAATGGAGGGGAGAACATTTGAGTGGAATCCTTTCAACTCTGAGCCCAAAGCTTTTATTCTACATTTACTTTTTACTGGGTTGTAAAATATAAAAAGATATTAAATAGTTCCTTGTCTAAATTACCCTTTTATTACTTTTTATCATTCTTCCTTAGAAGCAAGGTATATATTACACATTGACAATTTTATTAAAATGCAGATTTTAATATATTTAATGTTTCTCCTGTATTCATTCTAAAATGATTTGCATATTATGTGAGCATCTGAAGAACCAAATGAAAAGAGGAAATATTATAGGAATGATTTAAAATTAATGCAGTCAACCCAGATGTCTAATATTTAATAAAAAATTCCCTCTGCATTTTGCTTGTTTTTATATAAAAAGGCAATTCTGAAGACCAAAATCTTTTATGGGGTTCTTATTGATACAGACCTTATTGCTTTCAGCAAAAAAATATTAAAAAGTAAGCACATGAAAGACGACAGAAAACACAATAATAATTACATCTTGTGTAATGAAAGACAACCAGGATTTCTTCAATAACTGAAAGATTCGAATACCATAGGCCAGAAAATGGATTATTAAATGTTAGAAGGGTATGGCTAGATATTACATGTAGCTAGGATCAGCCAGGATCAAGAAAAAATGAGAGTTTCACAAGAGCTAGATTGTAACAGTGTATCTTGTTTGGAAAGTTCAAGAGGTGGCCCACCATTTCTTCCTTTTGCAAAAGCTTCAGCAGCATGAACTTCCTTAGCCAAACAGGACCTGCACTTTGAGGTGAGCAAAGACAAAGCAACTTGTGAAAAACTGGAAACAGGAAAAGTGATAAATGATTATGGTAAATGCTGAAAGATTTATGAGTAACAAAGAGAAGACAAACAAGACTGAAAGCCAGATATAACCTGAGCAAGTTATCCATAAAGTAACTCGACCTTATATTAGGGTTTTTTTTTTTTTTAGCTATGTTCTTAGCAAATGTGCACCCTTACTTCTGTTGCTTTCTTAGCATCCAAGTGGAAAATAAGACCTTTTCACATAGGTTGCAAAACCTCTTTTTTGCTTTCAAAACAATCTATCATTCAAGATCAGAAGCAATCGTAAGACCTTTTCACTCTCCCAAAGAGCAGGATTTTTCATAAATGCAGACAAACCAACCAGCAGAGGTGGGGTGGGCAGTGATTCTATGAGAATAACAGGTTCAGTTAGAATATGATCAGAGTATTCTAATAATATTCCATCAGAATATGATCAAATAAATGTTTAAGTTCTTCAAAGCTAAAAGGTCACTAGCATGCTGTATTAACATAAAAGTAGAAACAGGCGAGCGCTATGTAAACAAATTCCACGTCTGCTTTCTTTAAGGTAACAAGATTTTACTAGATTATCAACCTCTTGCTTATCCACAGGAAACAGATGAGGATCATTCCTTTCCTGCATCTAGAAACTGATGACAACACCATCTCACTATCAATGCCAGATGGCAACCATCTAACTCTGAGAAAACAACCAAACACCATTCCTGGATCCCTGCCCACTTCAACAAAGCTTCGCAATACAAGTTGAAACCGCATGATCTTGCATCCTCATTTATGTGAGTCTATAGCCAACATATTTCCACCATAATAAAGGGGCTGAGAATTGTGGGTATAATTTAAGTTTACAGGTGAACATATATAAAGACAATACACAGATAGACTCGACCCCCAACAGACAGAAAAGCAGTTTTTAAAAATTTAAAACAAAAAACCTCAATGATAATTCTAGCTTCTCCCTTAAAAAAAAACTGTATGTCACCAAAGTTGGTATCTCTAAAACAGGCTAAAGTTTTAAAATACTAACAGAAAATATTACTGTTTATTAAATTTGCTCAGCCCTCTAGGTAAAAATCTGCTACATTTTACATTTATCTTTTAGACTTATATCCTACTCTTTCCCTTAAAAATATTTTCAAACACATCATCTCCTTTGTCCAGTTGGGGAAAACAGTGAATCAGAATTTGTCATGAAATCTGGGCTGGAAGAATATAATGGTTGAGCCTAAAAATTTAGCAAGTGAATTTATTATTAAATTGCAGGTTGTATCCAAGCATGATATATTATTATACGAATGTATGAAGAATTATAGAGCAACAGACCATAGTGTGCAGTCCCGGACACCATGCTGAAGGCAGGCTCTTGTCTGTGGGTCACGCCCAACTACCCCATTAGATAACTGTTCTCTTAATTAAGCTTGTAAATTTCAACTCAAACTCATGTCAAGTGAGCTGAGGGTTAGGATCAAGTTTTTACTTAAGCCAGCCTTCAGGAGGGCTGGAAACCTCTTTTCTTCTCTCTCTCCTGCTCCTATTACTTGGTCCTGGGGGGTTAAAAGTGATAATCACAGAGGATGTGTCTTTGTAACTGAAATACATGGAAATTTATGGAAATTGCCTACCGAATTTGAAAGGCTGAGGCTGGGGAGCAAGTAGATTGAACAGAAGTAGAAAGTTTGAGCTGGGAATGCTACTTGTAGAAAAATAAATAAAGACTTTATGAAAGGCTGATTTCTGTTTTAAAATCGAAATTGTAAAACACTCACTTGCTAGAACTATAAATGGACCTATTCTGCCCAGGACACACCCAGAGCTCCCTGAGGACACCCCCCAGTGGGGCCGGCGCAGGCTCTCAAGACCTGACTCTCAAGCCTCTCACGGTGGTGGTCCTGACAACATCCTCCCAGGCCTACCCAAGTCTTTGGAAGCTACCCATCCTCATTAACATCAGGTTTTTGGCAGTCATGACGCCAACTAAGTTTAAATGGCTGATAGAGCTTCAAGCAATCTCAGGTTCTTTTTTCATATGGAGAAAACCATGGAGGAGTCTTCCCACTCCAGTTTCTGAATCAACTTGGGCTCTTTTTCCCTTCAGTACTTGCCAAGTGCTACCTACAGGAACGTCTCTCTGTGTTAGGGCAAGGTTTCTGCATGTCAGTGTGAAAGTACTTGACATGTCCATGTTAAATTTTAATTTTTGGAATCAGTCACTTCACACTAGCTGACTCTCAGAGAGCTATAGCTCTGTAGCACGGGAAACACACACGAACAACTGCTGGCAACCAGCTTGGTGGTCTAAAGTCTATTTAAAGATGCAAATGTGTGTGCGGAGTTGGTGCAGATGTTTTTCTACAGCAACTGTACTTGTGGAGTTTCACCATTTCCATAAAGCACATTAAAACAAGTGTGTGAACACTCTGAGATGAAAGTCTCAAACACTCCTGAGACTTTCAGTGGAAAGTAGAGCCGCCTGACTTTTCTCCAAGTAGACAGGAATGCCCATGATTCAGCAGCCTGAGTAAATAAAAGAGGTCCTTATTTCCTAATTCTGCTGGCTGGCCACACTGCAGCGGCCTCTGTGCTCCTGCCAAAGGGGATGCAGAACCGGGACTACACCCAGCCGCTGAAGCCTGTCTTTGTTAGACGGCCAGGCTTTCCCGACCATCTTCTGGCACCAGAACTGCCATATCCTGCAAGGAAGACCTCCAACTCAGGCTTGGTGGTTCTCTAGTCTGCCTACAAGGACAAAACAACAGATTTTGCTGGGTCTGTGTTGGGGGGAGGACAGCTGGAAACTCAGTTAGTGGCGCAGCAACACCTGTTCAGTCCTATTTATGGGGGAAAGTGCTCCCTAACAGAAAAGTGAAGTCACACTAGAAGGAGGTATTCTGCAGAAAAAAGGCACCAGAGCACAAAGCACCTTTGTCCTATGAGCCGCCGCCCCCTCACCTGCCAGCCTGGGGAGGGGAGAGCGTGGACAGGGCGCAACTTTACCCTGGCTGTGGGGGCAGGACAGAGGCACGTGCCCACCCAGACGAGAGCCCCTCGGTCGCCAAGTCCCAGTGCACAACCTGCCAAGGGAGACAGATGCTGAGGGTCCTGGCCACGCTTGGCTTTCAAGTTTAACCAATGAAGCTAATAAAAATAATAATAAGATCAAAGAAGGAGGGAGAGGTGTGCAGGAAGGTTTGGGGGTGATGCTAATGCTTTGTATCATTTCAGCACGTTTTCACGAGCATAAGATATATGCTTCTTGAGGGCAGGCAGCAAGCCTCTTAGAAAGCTGGCTTCCAATAATACGGGCAATCTGAAATTATTTAGGAAAAAATTAAAGTAACAAGGTGGACCGAATCACTGGAGATGTTAAAGAAATTATCCAGATCCTTAGGCGATGGAAACTTCTGACACTTTCAGTTCTTACCAGGGCTTGGCCTGCGAGAAGCTGGCTTACTGATACCCCTTTGCTATGTGAGCTCATTCACTGTAATAGCAGAGTACTCTTTAAACTGCCCCTTTGAGACTCAGTATCATGCGTGTGCAAACACCACACAGCAAGGTGTCCTTAACAGGGGCAGAATTTACACCAGTGGTTACTTTACAAGTGAGGAAAAGAAGCCCAGATACTCACAGGTCTGGTACCTCTGTTTTCAGGAGCGCAATGACTCAGAAGGAGAAATGAAAGTCAAGAGTCTAGAGTTTTATTTCTAGCTTCATAACTGACTTAGCGAGTGACCTGGCCAAGTCATTTAATCTGCCCCTACCTAGGTATTTCACCTGCAATATGAAGATAATAATTCTTGCTACTTACCCTCTGGGGTGTTACAAAGATTAGTGAATGTTTCTAGGGCACCTACCATTGCTGGAAGAAAAGCTGCATATGTAAACAAAAAGATTTCTATGTGTTGCATGGATTTATGTTTCCACATGTGAGCTTCTATGTATACAGTATAAATGTATTTTAACATTTTCTTCCCTTTAATAGAACACCTGGAATATGAGTGTTAGAGATTGGCCCAGTGGAAATCTACAGTGCCTCAAGCATTCACAGTTG